TTTACTAAGTATCAACATTAATAACGATGCTAGTGCAAGTAAAAACTTTATATGGTCTAAAACTACTGTTTAAAACTACTTAGTAAACGTGTATGCCTTCAAGGCCAAACGTACACGTTTCCAAGGCCAAACATGCACGTTTCCAAGGCCAAACGTGCATGTTTCAAGTGTAAAACAACGCGTAAAAATGTTTGGGCCGAACGGTTGCTTGCAAATGGTAATAAAGATTCTCACGCGAATAGACAACTTTTTATCCGCGACCGCAACTGTTCACCTCTAGTTGCAAGCGACGGTAAACGAGGCGAAAATTGGCAAGTTTGTTTATCATTAGAAAGAACGCAATGTCAAAATAAAGTTCCCATTCAATTTGTTACAAAGGCATCATCTTCATGCAGTTTGTACAGCCTGCATTCGAGTAAAATTATGTCTATGGAGGACGCTGTTTTGTGTTTTTATGGCCGCTTTGGAAGTTGGATAGCAGCCATAAACATAGCGCCGCTGTATCGGCATAAAGGTGATGAAGCGATCTTTCTTTCCACAGTCTCGCAACATAAAGAAATCCTTGAAAGTGTTCTCAACACAACGACACTTGACTTCAACACATTTTGCGCTAAGATGTGTAATTATCGCTGTTTAATATATGCAAAAGCGAAAATGGATGTGACCTACTTGGGGCCAAGCATTGCGCCGGGGCCCGGGGCTACATCGAGGGTACTTACAGTATGACTTAATTTTAAAACATGTGCTATGATAAATTGACTCAAATTTGCCTGAATTTTCTTTCTTTTGTCTTCGGTGGCGGAGAAATTTTGAGATTATGAAATTGAATGTGAAAGGACATTTGAAGAGGTGGTTGTGGAAGCACTGGCACAAACTTGCTTATCAGATAACGTAAATGTCAAAATACTATGAAACGTCGCATTGAATTTGTTGCAAATTAGATGGACATCATGGACTTTGAACAGTTTATACAGCCAGCCTGCATTTGAATACAGTTATGCTGTTATGTACTCTGGAGGATCCTGTTTTCTTTGTGGATTCAAATTTGGAGGATGGATATAATTACAGTTGTAATAAAACGGCTATAAACGTGGCGCCGCTGTATCGGCAAGGAGATGATGAAGCGAGACTTTCTACAGTCTCGCATTACATCTTGACACAATGACACTTGACTTCAACCCATTTTGCAGTATTAGCCACTGTTCCGAGCTATTTGATGTGCGATTGTTTTACGATTTGTAGCGGATAATTATGAATGTAAATTGCCGTAACTAGCGTGCGCAGGTATGTAAAATCCTCACATTTCAAATTTGTTTTATTTTGTCCCAGTGATGATAGCCATGGATGTTTTACGGAAACTAGTGCTGTTATTCGTAATTATTAAGCGTGTACAACTCTTGATAAGTAGAGTTGTGCCAGTATGGAGAAAATATATATTTAGAAATGCTACTTTTTCCCCCGGTCGATTAGCCGCGTATTTATAGTCGGCACTATCTCCAAGTTGTTTTAAGACATCCAAAGTTTGAGTTCATAAATGCTGAGCTAGTGTAATAAACTGCAGGCCTGCAGAGTATATCTCGGATTGAATCATTTTTGAGAGCGCGAGAACGTGACAAAGATGACTAATTTTTGTGTGTTGCAGCGATGCTAATTTCGTGCTTCGACGTACACACGTAAAATTGCCCAAATATCGAAATCTTTTGAAATTTGAAACAAACCCCTTTTGTATTGATGATAAGCAAGGGTTTCTTAATCCACACACAAAGTTTAAGGCTGGGTTTATTTTTGAACCAGTATCGAGTGGTCGGAAATTACAGAGACGGACTCTTAAGTATTTACAAATAACTTACTTACTTACATGAAGTTTCCTGAATAAAAGTGAGCGCGCGCGGTGTGATGGGAAGATTGAAATGAAGTTGGGCAGGCTCTGCCAGATAATGCGACGAAGTATGGTTTTTGAACCAAACTAGTTGTTTGACCTTTTTTGCATCTACTGATTTTCAATCAGTAGTAGTCCGTGTGTTGTGACCTCGAAAAGTGCCTAGAAAACGATTTTCATTAAGCATGTCTTAGATCTGAAATATGTTTACGGGAACTAACACTTTCGAACACGCTGAGTTCAAATCCGAAAAGTTCCCACTCCGTAGACCCGCAGTTTTTTTCACAAAATGCTATTTTATCTTTACTAATTTCACAACAAATTTTTTCATTGTTCAACATCACGGATCGATGACGATACACGATAGTGTCAATCAAAAAGACCAATTTCTATTAACCATTCTTCCTTGTAACAAAAGACCGGTTTTGCTCGAATCATTTTGAATTATGTTATCTTATGCGTGTTGGACGTAAACAACATATCTTGTCTACAACTTTGAGAAGGTACAGATAATTCCTTCTAATATCCTTAGTTCTGGATCTATTTCTATAAAATCACAAGGACGTTAATGTCAAGTCTTTGGGCTATGTCTCTGGGCTGAGAAATAATTCCTTACATGCGACCAAAATGTTTTATACAAAGATATAAAACGGTAATCTATATGTAATGGATCAGCACTGAAATTTCCAACACGGTTTCCAAGACGTAATTCAAGGAGATAACTTATCATTGCATTTGAACTATTACATCAGTTGGTGTTATACTGTGCGATAAGCGAATATTATTGGAAAGAGGGCTTCTATATACGTCGAAATCATCAAATAAACAGCTCATGCACACATTTCTCCACTTCGCGGTAAGTTTACAGAGCGTATTTTATACTTTGTGACTGATCTTTGTCTTTGATGTGAACATTTATTCTTATAGTTTAAGGTTATTTAAGATTGATCCTGTCGTAAGTCTTCTACCTGCAACCATTCGACAATATTTCGTTTTAGCGTTATCTTTGCCGTTACGTTGGCTTCGCGTTACTTTTGTTTTAAATATCTTGATCGCGTTAAAAGAGTTATTTTTCAGGCCAGTGACATAGCTAAAAGACTTGACATTAACGTCATTGTGATTTTATAGAAATATCTCTAGAAATGAGGATTTTAGAAAGCGTTATCTGTACCTTCTCAAAGTTGTAGACAAGATATGTTGTTTACGTCCAACACGCATAAGATAACATAACTCAAAATGATTCGAGCAAAACCGATCTTTTGTTACAAGAAAGAATGGTTAATAGAAATTGATCATTTTGAGTGACATAATCGTGTATCGTCATCGATCCGTATCGTTGAACAATGAAAAAATTTGTTGTGAAATTAGTGAAGATAAAATAGCATTTTGTGAAAAAACTGCAGGTCTACGGAGTGGGAACTTTTCGGATTTGAACTCAGCGTGTTCGAAAGTGCTAGTTCCCGTAAAAATATTTCAGATCTAAGACATGCTTAATGAAAGTGAACGATATCGGGTCACAACAGACGGACTATAGCTGCTACACGCGTAAAAACGCCCAGGTTGATGCAATACTGATGAAAACAGGATTGAACAATGTTTTGCTGCCCACATTGTTCATAACTGTCAACAACATTGAACAATATTAAGTGGTGTTTCCACAAACAAAAACAATTATATTTTATCGCCATGCAAACATTCAAAGAACTTAACATTGAACAATATTGTTACACCCGATTCAGGCTCAACAACATTGTTCAATATTGTTGACAAGTGTGAACAACGTGGGCAGCAAAACATTGTTCAGTCCTGTTGAGCAACGGGGCTCGGCATTTTTTGCCGTGTATGTCACGGCCTACGTCCGACAGACAGGTGATGACATA